CCGTCGGTCAATTTTGGCTTCCCGAGATCCTGGGAAGCAGCCCTAGACTAGAGCAAGATAACGAGATTGCACGAGCGTTACACGCGGCCATGCGAGCATGCTTCCCTCACGACGTGGAGATCTGCACCGGCAAAAGCCAGCCTCACTGTGCACACCACGCGTTCGTCTTGCAGCAGGACTCTTCTCACACTCTGTACGGGATCGCGCTGCGCGTTTGGTCCCGTGCCGATGAGAAGCGCGCCGAGACCATCCGCGAGCTACGCAAGAAGACGGAGCCGGACTTCTACGATAATCCCGATGAGACCTACTGGATTCCTTACTGCCTCAGCTTCCTTTCCCGGTATCCGCTCTACGATCTGCTAGGTGACTACCTCCGTGGCATGTGGATCCACTGGAACAAGGCCACCAACCTGTTCCACGCCGAAGAGGTCTCCCGCATCCTTAGCTTCCCGGCCCCGCGTCTCAACGACTTGGTCCGGATTGATATGAAGGATTATGCACTGTGCTATCAGTTCCCCTCGTCGCCCACCGGGTTCCAGAACTTTGCCATGTGGCCATTGTTCACTTGTCTGTCGATCCCCAACATCGTTGGCGTGATTGAGGCTGCTGTCTCGCCTACCCGCCGTATCATTTTCGTCAGCCACTACCCGGCGATGCTGACTGTTGCTGCGGAAACCATTCGTTACTGCGTTCGCGTCTACGAGTGGAGTGGTCTGTACGTGCCCGTGGTTCACGCCCGCCACGTGAAGGAGCTGGTCCAGGAGCCCGGTCCCTACATTCTGGGTATCACTGCCGAATGCCGGACTCTGTTCAACGCCCCATCTGATGCCCTCGTGGTCGATCTCGATCGGAACTTTGTCCTTACCTCCAGCCCGCCTAATGTGTTGAACCAGGGGCAGCGCACCAAGTTCATCAACCGCATGACCCAGTCCCTGAATGGGGATGTGTCGCCTTCCGGTGTGCCCCCACACCTGCGCACTGCCTACGCTGGTGGCAAGCTCATCCCGGCTGGCCAGATCATCGTTATGAGAGGGGAGGTCGAAAGCATCGAAGAGCCCCAATGGTGGAACCAGGATGCTGTCATGGGCGTCATGGACCATGTGTGTGAGAAGTTGGTATGTTTGCTCGCCTCTCAAGTTGTCACTAACCGTAATTTAAATTAACATTCCATCTTTTAGGGCCGCAACACCGGTATGAAAGCCATTTTCGGTGGCTCCGTCAAAAAGCCCCTTATGACCAAGGTTTCCATGCGTCATCTCAACGAGATTGTCCGTGAGCGCAACCAGTACTCTCGGGATGCTATGGAAGCTTGGCAAGACTTCATCAACCTCAAGGGCAGAATGGACACCGAGCTCAGCAAGGTCACCAAGCGCAACAACTTCTTGGTTGAGGAACTCGAGACCTGGAAGCAACAGTTCCTCAAGTTCCAGGCCTTTGCCGAGCAGCTCACGAAGGAGACCTCAGAGCTCAAGGTCAAGATTGAAAACCACAAGCGCGAGAGCCGTCGTCTCACTAGTCTTATTGATCAACAGAAGGACGATGTGGTTCGTCTAACTCTGCGCTTGTCTGGTACTGAGAAGCAGCGCGACGATGCTCTCGAGGCACTGGTCCTTCAGCAGGAGATTGCCGAAGAGCTCGAGCGTGAGCGCAAGCGTAACCAAAAGGAGATTTCCGCTCTTTCACATACTAACGCGACTCTCGCTCGCGAGCGCGAAGATGCCCAGCGTGTTGTCATGCACCTGCGCAGCCTCATCAATGGCCAGAGCCACCACATGGAGCACATTGTCCGCTCTATCGGTAGCAGATCGGAGATTACTGAAATGGTCGAGCAGGGCTACGAAGACGCTCCCGAGGAGCTCAAGGAGGATGCGTCGGTCGCTGGGTCGAAGGAGTCCGTTAAGACGGCTAAGGAGGTCAATGGTGACAATACTCTGGTAAATCACATGAAGCCCGAGTTGGAGCAGCATTTGCTGAACCTCGGCAAGGATCACAAGACCCTTGCTCGTCTCAGCATCACAGATGTCGCAGACCGCTACCTGCGCGACAAGACCGATGCCATCGCAGATATCATCCGCAGCATCAGCGATCAGTGTGCCGCCGCTGTCGAAGGCTTGCACCTGGCCCAGGACGCCGAGGACGAGGAAGAGCCCGCAATCTCTTCCAAGCTCCACCAGAACGACCGTCTCGGCTCCGACTACGAAGGTAGTTCCAGCCGCGCTCCTAGCGAGATCAGCGACGCTGACAACAACTCTCTCCACCCGGACAACCGCCATTCTAGCATCCCCCCGACCCCGGATCTGGTCCACAACCGCTCCAGTACGTCCATGTCCATGGTCAGCAGCTCGACTTTCCCCGAGCGGTCAAGTCAGCAGTATGGCCCCGGCGATATCCCGACCCGGATTGTTGAGGACGATGACGAGCACGCTCACGAGACTGAGAACGTTGATGACCAGCAGACTGAGCGTGGTACTCTGTCCAAGCAAAATAGCGAGGATCTCATGCGGCCTTCGACCGCACGGGTGATTTAGATCATCAGCTCTCCAGGTTAGATGACGCAACGCTTGACTGAGACGAACCTGCTTCTGCTTTTTTTTTCTCCCCTTCTCTGTCCATTCCTTCTGTCTGGCGAGGCACATTTTCCTTCTCTATTTCATCTGTGTAGTATTCTGAATACACACAGACGCTTTGGTTGTCTGGCGCACTTGTCATTTCTCCTGTTCCTCTTCGTCGTGTCGATTCTTCTTGATCTTCATTATATCCCGACCACACATGTGTCGTGTTTTCTTGTCCAATAATTTATGGCCATTTTTGCCATCCTGGGTCTTGTTATCTTTTTCCTTACTCTTTTTGCTCCTTATTTTTGCCCTGTTGTTCCTGAGGAAATCGTTTTTCTACTATGTCGTGCCGTCTGGGATGGAACGGCTTTGATTTACGCTCATCTCAAAGAGCCCTCCACTTTGCACCACCACCATCCGCACTGTCTGCGGATATTTCCTATTACCTAGTCCTTGATCTGGATTGGTCTCGTCTGTCAGGGTCTATATATAGCTCCCTGTTTAAAATGGATTCTGTGAATTTGAAAATTTTTCCAGTGATACGCCCGTCGTAGCCGAAGCAACTTCGAAGGCTTATGGAAGAATTCGAGTCATCCTTGTCTGATTCGTATGCTAATCATGAACTATGTACTTCACTCAAATTGCAACTCAATGCCTAGATCACATTTTAAGCCAACTTCCCCGGCACAAAAGGATGTCCAGCACTCAAACCACCACAAACTGCCCAAGCCTGCCCATTAACGTAGCTACTCTCATCGCTACCAAGGAACAGTGCAACGCGCGCAACCTCATCAGCAACAGCTCCTCGTTGCAATGGGTTCAACTGTCCGACCTTGCGCTCCGTGCCGCGCTCCCGCGCCCGGTCAAACACCGTCTGCGTCATTCCCGTCTCAATCAGTCCGGGGCAGATTGCGTTCATGCGGATACCCGTCCCAGCGAGCTGGTACGAGACCGTCTGCGCTATCGATACGACTGCTGCTTTTGATGCAGAGTAGTCAGTTGAGCCCGCGTTAGAGCGGAGGCCTGCTACCGACGCTGTGCCGATGATCGAACCGCTTGGATATGGCTTCGACGCTGAAGTTATCTTCATTGCTGGTGCCGCGTATTTGGCTGCTAGAAAGACGCTGTTTGTCCCGGGTTGATTAGGTTGGTTTGATTCTCTGGGAATTATGTTTGCTTTATTTCTGGAAAAATGTACGTACCCGAGAGCATTTACCCGCATTGTGTTGAGGAATCCCTCACTGTCGATCTCGGTGAATACCTTTGGCTGGCCTACCACGCCTGCGTTTGCAAAAAAGACGTCTAGTCGGCCGTATTTGCTGATCGCTTCGTCAATTACTTCACTCAGAGCTTTTTCATCGGCCGCGTCAAATGACCGCACGTGGATGTCTACGCCTGGGTAGAGGGACTCCAGCTCCCGCTTGTGAGTTGCCAGATGGGTGTCACTGAAGTCGCAGATGTAGACTGCTTTGGCGCCATTGTTGGCGAATTGGTGCGCGCTAGCCCGGCCGATGCCATTAGGAGAGTTTGCACCTGGATTTCAATTGGTACGGAGGTTTTGATATGGGGTTGAGAAATAGTGCATACCGGTCACGATTACTACCTTGTCCTTGACCCGGCTATAGATTCGGTTGTTAGCTATGCCTTAGCTTGATACTGACGCAATGCAAGAAGCTGAATAAAATAGCATAGAGCTATAAGCTTCCAGACTACTTACGGTCCTGCTGAATCAGGGGCAACATGACGGATCTTGGGGATATCCTCAAACTTGCCCTCGGAGCGAATGCCCTCAACGAGCTGCTTGCTCAAAGCCTGTAGACGTTGCTTAGCTACAGCAGACATATTTGTTAATCGCTGAGTAGGCTGAAGAGGGCTGATAGTACGAGAACGAATTGAACGCACTAGAGGAACAGCTTGAGCTGAGGTAGCTTCGTAGTTATAACAGTTCAGCTTTCCCCACTATGTCGGTTATGCGGAGAGCCGAGGCTCCAAGGCTACGCTAGGGCATAGGAGCCAACATAGTAGAGAAATCACGTGCGATAGATAAGCAATCGAGTCACATGACAGCCGCACGGTCACGTCATGTGCCTCAGGGTATCAAAGATGTCTTTTGTGGGTTTCAGGATAACTCCAAAATCTGTGGTCTTTGTTTTCGCATGCCTTTGTTGGTCCTAAAATAGGTTATCTAGGGTTAAAATTCGGGTGCCCCTGAAAATCACGGTCGATCTCCCTTCATTCCACCCACGGATCGCTACAGCAAGGATCGCCAAGCACGCCCGACAAGACAAGCCAAGTATCAGAAAGCTACATAAACTACTTGATTCTTTCGCTTGCTAGCCCGGACGTCATTTCCAATTTACCCAGATCCGACAGCTTCCAGAAAAGCCTTCATGAAGCCGTTAATCAACGATTCTACCGTCCACGCCATTGCCCGGTTGTTGAGTCATGGCAGATTCCGAAGTCCATTCCCAGCGGCGTTCTTCCTCCCAAGCGTCAAGCGCCTCGAGCAGAAGTCGAAATGCTAAAATCACTCGCGCCAAAATGCAGAAACGGCACTCAGGCTCCTCCCACACAACAACCGATTTGACCTCGTTCCCCTCGCTTTCACCCCCCAGACAAATCTTCGACCCTCGCCTGTGGACTGACAAACACATTGTTTGCCAGCGAAGATGGAGCGGAATCGAATGGAGGTAGCACTGGCCGGGGGCGGAAGGCTACGCTCGCAAATTTGACAACCGGGCCGTCGCACAAATCAGGCCGAGCTGCCCTCTTCGCCGATTCCGTCCCGACACATGATATTCCAGGTGCCCTACATTTGGCCGATGATGCGCACATTGAGCGACTGGTTGCTGGAACAGGAGCCGTGAAGATGGTGAGGCAGTTCGCCCGCGATCTGGCCCAACGGGATGCTGAGATCTCGGCCCTCCGCCAACGCGCCGATGCAAGGGAGCGAGAACTGAAAAGAATGTTACGAGACGTGTCTGTGTCCAACCAAGACATTGAACGACGTCTATATCAGTTGGAGAATCCGCCGAACGATCGTGTCTCGGATGCAGAAAGCACTCATAGCAGCGATCATGCTGGTCAAACCTACTCTGGCCTAAACGGATTGATGTCTCAAGCTATGGAAGACACTGTGGGCTCTCGGCCTTCTAGCGACTCTGCAGAAGCCCAGGCCACCATTCGAGCCCAGCGTTTAGACAATGATCTCCGAGGCAGCGGGACCACTGACAGCCGGAAGCGTCAAAGCTCGATTCGGGGCTGGCAGGAATACTTTTTTGGATCGGCTAACACAAGCCGGAAAACTAGCCGCGCCAGTAGCATCATGAGTGGTGTTGGTGAACTCGGAGAAGAAGAAACGGAGCGTCTCCGAGTGCCTAGCAATCCTGCAATGCGACGCAAAGCGATTGATGAGCAGCTATTCCAGCCCCCAGATGGCCCAGCACAAAACACACCGGCGAAGCGCGTTGCTGGCACGTCCACAAATTGTGATGATGCAAGCATTCATTCTCGCAAATCTTCACGATCTCTCGGCTCTTGGACTGTTAAGTTATTTGCTGGCAATCCCCAGTCGAGCAAAGAAGCAAGTGATATTGAGTCTGCCCACAATAAACCCCAACACAGAATGCCAGAAGGAGATAAGAGTGCTTCGTCTACACTATCTGGCAACTCCAAGAGTTCAATGTCGGCAATGGCCGCACTGAAGAGGATCAACAGCAATGCCAGCATGCCTACTACTGGACGATCTGCCAGTGGATCAAGCGTCCAGAGCAAAATAAACTCTCCTGCCCCTCGACGGACTGCAGCTGGTAGTGTGTCTCAAGGCGTGGCGTCGGAGTCTATGGATAGAGGCTCCACAAATCTTGGACCTGTCGAGATGGACGCCATTTTGCCCATGGAATCCAAGCCTCCGACGCTCACGCCTATCTATAACAATTCCCAAGCGGGCGAGTTTCTCACTGACCGATTCGGTTTCATTTATGATCAACACAGGAAGAAGCGTCAGAGAGAAGCCAACACTACCAAGAGCAGCATTCACCGTCTGAGTATAACCGAAACTCTCGGTACTCTTCGAAGTGATGCGTCAGATCATGAGGATGACCCCGAAATCACAAAACTTCGGCATGGACCTTCTGATGGCTCACGTTCCCTGCCTGACTCGCCAGATGACCCTGATAGTGGAGCTGTTGCCATCCGTCGCTGGCAGGACTACCTGAGGATCCCGTCCCGCCCCACGGAGCTATTGTCCCACACGCCCTCCGCAGGCCCGATTGTCTCTTTAACAACGGCAGGAGAAAATCGCTCCCATAGCTCTTCTGTTTCATATGACAAAGACGGGGCGCTGGCCATTGGCTCCAGCGCACAACCATCTGCATCTACCTCGGCTATCACAGCCGACCGCCCCGAATTCGCCGGTTTGTCATCAGACCAACTCAAAGACACAGCATCCAGGTTCACTGTCGCAGATATGGAGCCCGTAAAAATGTTATTGGAACAGTTGACTGATCTCCATGACACTTTGCAACGCGATCGGACCGTGAGATGGAACGAGTTCCTACGCAAAGTGCGTGCTGAACGCCGAAAAGAGGGCGAAGCGGCAGCCGCTGCAGCAACTTCTGATCGATCTCTCGCTGCTGTTGACACCCCGGAAGTCTCGCTCGCCGACGGCGAAGTTGTAGGCATCGCAGGTCTAGGCAACAAAGGCAAAGTTGGCCGAGCGAAATGGCGCGAATTCCGGATGCTCGTACTCGGCGGCATCCCAGTTGCTCTTCGCGCCAAAATTTGGTCTGAATGCAGTGGGGCTTCGGCAATGCGAATTCCTGGCTACTATGATGATCTCGTCCATGGTGTTGGCGGATCGGACCCCGATCCCTCTGTCGTCGCACAAATCGATATGGATATACGCCGCACTCTTACCGATAATGTCTTTTTCCGCAAAGGGCCTGGAGTCAGTAAACTGAAAGAGGTTCTGCTTGCTTACTCGCGCCGTAACCCAGAAGTAGGCTACTGCCAGGGCATGAACCTCATTGCAGGTTCTTTGCTGCTCATCATGCCCACTGCCGAGGATGCGTTTTGGATTTTGACCTCGATGATCGAGATTATCTTGCCCCAGCACTACTACGACCATGGCTTGCTTGCCTCTCGTGCCGATCAGGTAGTCTTGCGCCAGTATATCTCAGAGCTGCTCCCCAAACTCTCAGCCCACTTGGAGGAACTAGGTATTGAGCTAGAAGCACTCACCTTTCAATGGTTCCTCTCTGTCTTTACAGACTGTCTCTCTGCGGAGGCACTGTATCGCGTATGGGACGTGGTTCTATGTCTCAATGTGACCAGCGCAGTCAACGGCTCCGGGTCAAATGCCTCTGGTACTAAGGAGAGCAATGACAAGACTACCAAGGTTGCCGAGAACCATACTTCTGGCAGCGGAGGCGGAAGTACATTTCTGTTCCAAGTTGCTCTCGCACTTCTCAAGCTCAACGAGCAGCAGTTATTGACGACCTGCTTGACGCCGGCCGCGCTCTATACATACATCAACCACCAAATGACCAACCACGCCATCAGTATCGACGGGCTGATCCAAGCCAGTGAAGCACTGCGTAATGTGGTCCGCCGTGAGGATGTTGTTACTCGTCGTGCTGATGCTCTGCAAGAAATGCGCGAATTGAGCAGCGGTGCAGGCATCTAGATGTTTGACACGGAATTCCTCGTCATCATCTTCCATTCATTTCCCCCTACATTTTTCACGCAATGCCGATACGACCTGAGCATAAGGCAAGGAGTTTTGAGTTTTCTGTTCTATTTTTCTCATTGCCTGGCGCTATTTCCCTCATTATTATTCTGTTTTGCGAAAGCGCATGTTGACATAGCCGATGTTCTCGTTGCTCGTCTCATACACCAACCCAGCATTTGAGATACCCCTGGATTTTACACTTGGGTGGCAGCACTGTTAGACTTGTTTGAATGAGATCAATTTTTCTTGTCGTTAATTCTCTTATCCGGATCATTGTGACCTTGCTGATTATAGTCAATGGAAGGACACGGGCACCTCTCCTATAATCCTGGAGGACTCTCAATTTCTCTTACAAATTCAGAAATTACACCCGGGATCAATATTATCCAAGGGACAGCAAGCTGGTTTGAGTCCTTTCGTTCTCGCAAAAAGACTACTAATCCTATGGGACAATTCAAAAGCAGAACAGGTGGTATTGTACTCCGCAGTGGAACAACAAACCCATATGTCCACAAAAAAGTACCACGAAGGGAAGCATTGACCATATATCCTCAACTATTCGAACCAAAGATCATCAAACATGTGCAGATATCACAGCTACTCGGTTTACCCTGTCTCGGGTCTTGGCTGTCTTGTACTCGACTCGAAATCAGCCAATGCCGGTCCATCAACCCTCTCCATATAGCGAATAATTTCCAACTGGTGAAGCTTGTATTCAAATGTCTGCGCATCCGAGACACTTCTGCAGAGCTCTCCATCGGTGCTGATAGGAGCCGTGACTGGATACGGTGCTGTAGGCATGAACCTAGCCTTCAACTGAGGCTTGAAGGACTCTCTGGCTATTTTCATTCTTCGACCGTCTTCCGTGCCAGTGTAGGGGTCGTAGTTGATGTTGGCTTGATCCATGAGGCCTACTATATATCAGTCTCGATTCTCTGGCTCTTCCAAGATTCTCGCAAACGTACGCTCCATATGCTTGATGTAAAGGCACAGTCTCTGATATGTGCGTTGGAACTCGCGTTTCTTGATTGTTGCCCTGACATCAAGGTCCAGCATCCAGGAAATCATTGCACAGGACAGTCCTGCCAATCAATGTCAACATGTTGTCTTTGATTAGGAGGATGTTCCGCTTACCATCTTTGCTGTAGCTATATTGTTCACTCAGATATGGCGCTGGAATCTTTTCCATGCGATTCACGAAATCCGGGGGAGGCATATCTTGAGAGGCCATTTCAAGTCGATCTAGGATAATGATCCAGAGGATATTGAGTATTCAAGAGATTTCTCTCTCTTTTTCTACGATGGTCGGATTCAAGCCGGGTTAGCATTCTCTTTGTTCTTCCGCGGTCTATCTCAACCATTCAGACCGGAAAGAAATTTCTTTGTTTTGTATTCTCTCAAGGCTCTGAAAAGTCACATAACGCGTAAGAAAGTCGATGGGATATGGAATGCGTGGCCAAATTCTTTGTTCTTGAAATAGGTATACTTCGACTTGGCTTTGTTCCAAGACGTTTCTCAGAATTGAAGATATTCAACCCTCTCTGGAATTCGAAAGCACGTTGCCCTACTGACATTTTTATGCTGCTTGACCTATAAAGTCCTCCCGATTCCCTTTGATACCTCATCTCATCTTTCTATACTGTCTTTGATCTATCGGTTGAAAATGAATTACGAGCGCCTGGCAGCTGAGATACCTGCTCTCTATAGGCTATCGAGGGAATCCAAAGGTAATGGCTCTATTTCTCTTCTAGCCCACAAGTCTAACAAAATAAATCAGAGGCCGACCTTCTCAACGGCCTTCTAGGCTGGATCCGTAACGATACCTTTGGGAAGGTGGCAGAAGTCTGCGCTCTCTGGGGTGCAATTGTCCAGGCCAACAAGCACCTTGCTAAAGTTGATCGTAAGACTATACGCTCGATCTTGTAACTGTTGCTGATCAAGTTCTCTGATTTAGGTACGCTGCAATCGCGTACGATTGATCATGAGCATTTCAATCTCAAAGAAGTTCTGAATTCAGAGTTGAAACAAGCCAAGGAGATGATGGCTTCCATCCCTGGTGGCAGACGGGCAACTACAGTCACTACCGATGAGGACTTTTCTCTGGCTATTAAGCGACTGAAGTACCTCCGCGAGTACAAATAGTCTGTTTGGGTACTCGGTCTGGGGTAGATTCATGGATAAGGGGGTGAATTCGGGCGTGAGTGTTTGGCCTCGTCTATCTCCGGGTCGATGACCCCAAGCTGGACAATTTCCTTAGTGTTATAAGGTTACATGAAGTAGAGGCAAGAAAGAGTACGAGCAGGAAATCGGAGTTCTACTGGGGTCTTCATACAGAAGTGGCTTACACATCTGTCAGTGCCACCTAGAATAGCCTAATGATGAACACGAGTGCACTGGATAAGGTGAGGGCAACGATCAGAATACTAGTGAATATTGTAGATCCATAAAGATAAAGCCTTGTAGTCTCAATCTGGGACTACCTTTACGAGTTAGAAAGGTACAAATCGAATCTGATATACACAAAGCCGTGGAAAACCGTCCCAAATCCCTCCGGATACCCCGGGTACAGCTTTATACACCGGATTTGGGTCTGTAAGACCCCCCAAAAGGGGCCAGAACCCTACAAGGGGGATGTGGTGGGGTTGGTGGGGTTGGCGGGTTTGGTTGTGAGCAAAACCCTGTCAAGGCTGATGAGCTCACTCTTGACTTGGTTCAACGATCGTGGAGAAGTCGCGAATATGGACGGTGTGAAACGTTAGAAAGGTCGGGAAGAGGTAGGTGATATCTTCTTGTCTCAGCTCGGGCTCTGATCCACCCAGAATTGACTGTTATCTAAGACCGTCGTCAGATCCAGTGAGTCCATTGTCGGACGCAATCCAAGATCCATCACATCGCGTGCAACGGCTTTGATCTGCCGCATGATCGACTGGGAAATAGCCCATGTACGGGCCAGGGACTTGAAGACACCGATCGTCAACGCGAGACGGTCCCGGCTAGGGTCTGGCATTTGACCGGCTTTGACAGAGCAGGTGGCCAGCTGGACGATGGAGCTTAAAGTGAGCGCGCAGATGAAAAATGGAGTATGCTTGATCACGGGTAGACGGAAGGCAGCAAGGCGGGACAACTCTCGGGCGGCCTTGGCGGCCTTCATGGCATGCTCGTTGTGGGAGAATGCAGGCACACTGATCGGACCATGGTGGCCACAGATGACTTCCGCGGCAACGGCAGGAGACGAAAGAAGATCGGACCGCGGGAAGTTGAGGTAGATGGCTGCACCGTTCAACATCATGGTCGCCTGGAACATGATCTCATCCACGCTCCCGTCGGGACGCAAGAGCTCTTCCTTGGACTCTGGCAAGTGATGGCCCCAACTACCAATCCGCGCATCAAGAGCTTCCACTTGGTCCTGCTGGCCTTGGGTCATATTCTGCATCGCCACCACACGGCCGAGAATTCGTATGGCTTCAATGCGATAGCAGTATGAGGAGAAGTCGCGATCTTCATCCGCGAACACACGTCCGTCAAACTGCGCAATTGTCGGGGGCGGTGGCGGCGGTAGGGCATCCTGATAGATCCGCTCCTCACATGGAAGTGAAACCTCGAGCGGTACTTGGTTGGTCCGGTACTCGCGCTGAACACCGAGAGCAGTCATGAGACCTTCAATTACGAAGAGTTCCCACCAGGTACGCCGCAGAGTCTCTGCGCGGATTGGATCCCCGTGGCTTGCAAGGATCGCAAACGTCCCTTGATGCATGCCGAGCTCAAAGGCCGAATCTACTGCAGCAGCCAAACAGGCACCGGCTTCGGCGCGCTCATTGTCCGAGTGAAGCACAATGGCGAGCAGAAGCAGCGCTTGCACCTTTTCCACCGACAGATTTTGTTCTTTGACCATTGCGATGATGGTAGGGCGGTACGTGTCACTCGAGGCGGCCGGGGTGAAATGGGCACCGATGAACTTCATCACCTGCTCCAGGTATGCGGGGAAGATGTAGCGACTGAGGAGCCGGTGAGGTGGTAGGATTGGATGAGCGGCGTGGAAATAGTTATAGTAGATATCGAGCAGGTAGCCATCCCCGCCCACAGCAGTGGATGAATCCGGGGTCAACGGTCCGCTGATTTGGCGAGCGGATGAAACGATTGGTGTCGAAAGACCGTGTAGTCCGGGACTAGTCGAGGCGGACGAGGGCAATGGTACGGTTGGCGAATAAGTGAAGCCAGTCTGCAACGCCCAATCCACGGGAACATCGAGCATGCCTACCGGGTTGGGATCCATGGGCAAGTAATCCGGTGAGTGGGCGCGACGCTTTTTCGAGGGGCCCTTGTAGCCTCTCCGAGACTTGGTATATTCGCAAGGGGATCGGGCGTGTTCACAGCGGCCGCAGACGGGAGTCCTGCCATCGCATTTGAGGTGTTTGTGTCGGCACTGAAGACAGGCCAGTAATGCAGGACCCGGTTTAGATCCAGAAGTAGTCTGGAATTCGGTCATGGTGAAAAATGACGCATATAGGGAATGGGGGCTAAAGCGATAAAGTAGAGAATAAGATGAATTGGGGGGCGGAAGAGGGGATTGAAGATGTTCCAAGGTGTAATTCGCGTTACGCACTAAGGGGTTGAATCAGGATTCTCTCTCTGAGGGAAGCCTGGAAACCTGTATATATATATATATGTATGTATATATAGTTTCAGAGGTCTGTGAGAGGGTCAAAGGGATAACTAGAGAGAGGGAGAGGGAGAGAGAAGTAAGAAAAGGAGAGAAAACACAAAACAATATTACACAGATGACAATGTCACCATGCAAATGGTTTAGTATGTAAGGAGTACATTACACCGTAATATCGTACTCCACATTTACATTACATAGCTTCCCACCTTGACCCTACCGCTTTCTCTACTTGATCATCTCTATCGCTACCTCTTTACTCTCTACTTGTCTACTTGTCTACCTATCTGTCTACCTGTGTATCCCCATCATCTACCTCTTGATCCTCTCCACTTAAGATTAATTTGTCTCTGGGGATACCATTACACAATCACCATCTCTCGAAATACCAGCCGACGTGTCTTCTCCGACTATATCACTCATCCCTTAACGCTGTATCTCGTGTGAACGTTCACATCCTTTCTTCCTTTCACAATGATCTCTGACGACGACCTCTACCGCCTCGCCATCTTCCTGGGCTCATGTGCCATGATGATGATTGTACTATACCACTTCCTCGACGTCAATTCCAGCGAGGAGGAACCCGAGTCTGTCGAATCAGCAAGCCAAATCAAGGAGGAGACTGTCCCAGTGATGTCCACAGGAGGGGTGTTGATCTCGGAGAAAGGGAATAGAATTTGAGTTGTCGGGGGAGAGAAGGAAGGACAAGAATCCAACAGCGGAACCAAGATACCAGTGCCTACAGCATTTGATTTTACTTTTACCAGCGGGTCAGCCACAAGCCAATTGTACACTACAGTCCAATCAGTTGGAGAGAAAGGCAGTCATTGCCAATGTCGTGACTTTATTCATCAATGCTCTTTGATTTGAAATTGTGCGGTTCCGGGGACCGTATAGATCTCAAAATAGATAAAGGGAGGACCTCATGACGTATCATCCAGATGAGCACTATCTGTCATGGAAAGATGGCAGATCATGATATTCAACGCCAATCAAAAGGGGAAAAAAACAAGGGTATCACAAAAGTCGATCTGATGTATCAATCCTCCCCAATAAATGCCAATTCTCCGCAATGGACTCTGCTCTGGCGAGTCGGCGTTGACAGACGGCGGTCACTCCAATCCATCTCGGGTCCGACCTGTTGCTTCCAGTGTCGTCCCGCTTCGAGCAGTGCTTGGGCTTTCGTCTTCTCTGTCGATTTCCCATGGGCCTTGCTGAACGCCTTGACTTGGTGTTCATCCACGGGCAGAACCATGGTCCCTTTGCGGGCACTTCGATCACCCAGAACGGAAGGGTAGGGTGGGTTATTTTCCGCTAGAACATTCATCCGATTAGACAGTTTCTTCAGATCAAGAACAAAGATTGTGTGAATCAGCCTCTTGAAGAAGCATCAAGCGCAAGCTAGTTATGATTCTCACCAGTTACTGGCACCGTTGGTCCATCTCCAAGCCGCCAGGCCATTTGAGAAATATGCTCGTTCGATATATGCGTAAACATATCTGCTGCAGCCATTGGCGTCTTATTGCCACAATCTTTCCATTTACAAACAAGAGAGTGTGGGATGTGAACTTTGATAACGTGGGCTCGGACTGAGTCAATGTTATGGAGTTCGCCAGCACACCCCTCCCACTTGCATGGGTAAATTTGATAATTCACAGGCTGTTCACGGTGGATCGCAACTTCAATATGGTTCGCTCCACTCTTAGAAGGTCGACCTGGCCTTCTCTTCTGGGACATTCTGCGCGGTGAAGGTGGGATAACGACTTGTGGTTGGGGTAGACGCCTTGCCTCTGGGGATTTCACGGTCGGATCAGAGTCAGGTCGGTCGCTGGCCGTCTGCCCTGTGGGTTTAGGCTTTGATATAGGCTGAAGCGTCGATTGTTTAACGGCATGCACAGTTTTGGGGCGACCTGAGCTTTTTGTGGACTGTCTTCGCTGTGGGGGTTGGGGTGGAGCTTGCGGCAGTGGGGGGAGTCGGGAATGGGACGGATTGGGATGAGCGCTGCGGGGATTCAGGCACAGAATTCACCCTAGGAAGTCCAGAAGGCAACTTTGAAGAAGGAATTGATTGAGGAGTGTGATAAGTCGGTGGCTTGAAAGGTAAAGTACCCCAAGCGCTCAAACCACCAGGAGGGGCACGCGCGTCAATTCGTGTTGGCATCGCGGTTTGGCGGTTTGGCGGTGTGTCACGCGACGGCGTTGGAGCGTAGTCACGTGTAGTCACGTGGCCATGTATGATATCTGGGTCACGTGGAAGTGAGTGCCAAGCTGCCTGTGGTGGTTGAGGGTGAGGTGGTGGCCGTAGGGGTATATGGGGTGCAGCAAACGGAGGAATGCGATAAATATTAGTCTCAGGCTGCTTCACATCAACCAGATCCCAACGAAAAGTTGCCAAGTCGGCAAGGTAATCGATTTTAGTAAATTTACGGCGTAGTCCTTCAAGATGATGATTTAGAACCTTCTCCGTCGGGTGTTTTCCCGCAGCAATTAGTACATCCCGCGCAATAGTCGTGGGATCATAAGTTTTCTTGGGTAGTGCATCGTTCGGTCTTATCGGCTGAACCAGGTCGTCACGATTCTTAAGAATTTTACCAGAGCCTCGAGGCCGAGCATATTCCATGGAAGCTTGGGGCCCTTGTACTGAGTTACCTGTTGACGTGGCATTTTTGGTGGTAATTGGGATTTCCTCATGGCCTAAACGTCGCATCTTTGCGGGTGGCATAGGTTCACTCGGATGGCCTTGGGTTGGAATCCACCGCTTTTTTTGATGCTGCAGTGGTCCTGGCAGTGGGTAACTCTGCGACTGCGGATTCCCCACCGCAGGCTGTTGTGCCGGAGTTGACTCAGAGAAGGTACCTCGTCGAGGTCCCCAAGTATACAGAGATGTGTAAGAAGGCTCCGGGTGGGAGCCTGCAGGAAGAGTAGATGATGCAAAGGCTGAGGATACCGTTGGGGTACTCTGCTCATTTGCTTGGGAGATCGTAGGGTGCTGGCTTGTCTGATTTGGTGCCTGGTATGATGAAGTAGGTGCTGCTTTATCCTGAGTCCCTCCATTCTCCTGAGTCCAGCCCTTGTCCAAAAGATGTGGAACAGCAGTCGTCTGTACAGGGGGCGCCATAGGGGCAGATGCAGACTCGGGAGTAGAAGCAACAATAGAGACAGAAGGGCTGCGCGACTTGATAGGCTGGGATGTGGCAGGCTTGCGGACGCTATCAGGCGCAGTTGGCAAGGCTGGCTGCACATGATCATGATTTCGAGATGAAGGCCTAGGTGGTATTGGGGTTGATCTAGCAGAGTTGGTAACTGGATTTTGTGTTTGTGGACTGGAACTCTCTCGAGTGCTTGTGGTTGGTGTGATCGACTGGCGTGGGTCAAGTGTGCTGTGTGCTGCAGAAGTTTTGAATTCCTTCAGCGGTGCATGGGGGTGCGATGATCTTTGAACATTCTGGGTTGAGATTGTGGAATGGCTTTGATGTGGGCTTTGTGATGCTTGAGGCCTTGCCACCAGTCCATGCGTATTTTGAACGGCGAGCACGGGCCATGGTCTTTGCGCGGCACTTGAAACAGATAGTTGGTGGGTTCTTTGGACCGGGGTCGTAGAGTGGCTTTGGTATGGGCTCTGCGATGCAGCCGGTGTGTGTGTTTCCTGACCTTGTACTGTTATTCCCTGTCCCATATGCGATTGGCCTAACATCTGGGAATGCTTACCAAGGGTTACCGAGAAGCCTTGGTACGGGTTTTGTGGTGTGGACAAAGCTCCTGCCATGTGTTGGTTCGTTCTCATTGTAGGTGGTGTCGATCTTGTAGTTTCTCGGGCCCTGTGAGTACTTTTTCCAGCCCCTACGGAGTTTGACATAAACTTCGGAGGTCTCTGCGAGGGACCAGCGGGAGCCATACGAGTTTGGCCATGGCGATATGCATCCTGATCTACCTGAGCAGCCAAATGATGTTGGGGCGGAACAGAGGGATCTGGCCGCTGACTTATGGTGTGAGACTGGTGTGTTGCATATGTAGCGGGTCCAGAAGGAGGATTGTTGAATTGAATGTTGCTGCTTTCCTGATGTTGGTTTCCTCGATGCTGTCCAACCGAGGCTTGCGAGTACACCTGAAGGGGATCCAAGGTATGATTCGTCCCAGGATTGATTGACCTGATATATGGATATGACCACTGTGTCTGCTGATGCGTAAGGGCCGCTCTAGCTACCTCCTCCGCATCGTGAAATGCCGGATGTGCCTGATAAGCTTCATTGTTGGAATTGGGGTCGTAGTCGGGGTGACTATCAGCTGGAAGAAAGCTCTGGAGCCAGTCGAATCCATCCATGCCTCCGTTAGACATTTCAAATTGTGCTGAAGCTATTTGGCTGCTATGATCTCATAGCTGAGGATGCTGTAGGGCCGAGCGAAGAAAAAAGACTTGAGCGCAATGCGTTGCGCATGGAGGGGATTGAATTGCGGTCAAACAGGAAAAGTCCGGTTTACCAGATAGACTCGAGGAGAACCACGGACACAGTATGGGACCGGAAGTCGATAGTCAAGAAAAGGGACTTCTCACTGTCCTTAATCAAAAACGCGGCCAAAAAGCTGGCCTAGGGCAGATGTTGTCGAGGCGCATTGAGAAGCGCGTCGGAGGTGGGTCCTGCGAGCAGCCAATCACACCAAGGGCTGTTCATGCCTTACAGATCGGGTGTCTAGTTGCAAGCCCTGAGACGGCTTAGCGGGAAATTAGTAAGCACACAATCCGGATCCAACTTGGAATATTCGGCTACACCAGAAAAGATCCTCTCTTCGACCAACGCCAACGACACCCGTTCACTTCACACCCCACGACCTTTAAGATGGCTGTCCGAACCCACGGTGCGTACTCTCTCGCATATCGCCTTGCGCCGAATTGATTTACCACTGCCCGAAACCCCTATCGATACGAATTTTCGCCAATCTTCAACTTTCAATACTGATAGTGTCTCCAGGTATCGCCTCTTCGCGGAGCAAGTCTCGCAAGGCACACTTCCAGGCCCCCTCCAGCGAGCGCCGTGTCATCCTCAGCGCTCCCGTCTCCAAGGAACTCAAGGAGAAGTACGGAGTATGTACCACATTCACCTCCATATCGAATCTGGGTCTGTTCGAGTAGAGTTTTCACGATTGGAAGCTGTGGACGATACAGACAACAGAATCAAACAATAAACGACAATTCTAACCAGAACTCCGTGACAGATCCGCTCCATTCCCATCCGCAAGGACGACGAAGTCGGTGAGTTTATTCTTGAAACAACACATGAATAACTTCGAGATCTTGAAACTGACTGTTATGTGCAGTTGTTACCAGAGGCTCGCAGAAGGGCCGCGAGGGCAAGATCACCAACGTCTACCGTCTCAAGTTCTCCATCTTCGTCGAGAAGGTACGATTCGAATTCACATTACAATTACTGCGGTGGATACTTACTGCGGTTTTAGATCGTCCGCGACAAGAGCAACGGCCAGAGCGTTCCCATTCCCCTCCACCCTTCCAAGGTCGTCATCACCAAGCTGCACCTCGACAAGGATCGTGAGCAGATCATTGAGCGCATCGCTAAGGGTCGTGAGGCTGTCAAGAGCAAGTCGACTTAAGGGATTTCTTACGTGTGGGGTATAGGTTCATGTTGCAATGGTGGTTGACGGCGCGGGTTCAATTGAAGGACTCTGAGAAACGGAGTTTCCAGCCTGCTATGATCAGGGTAAAGTTTCTGAAACCAGGTGCATTGCGATGAATGAAAAATGAACAAAATTTCCTTTTTCTTCTACTCTGGAGTCGGTGCTCGCAGTGCAATTCGCTTTGCGCAGCCGACGCTTTTTTTTACGTCTCCCGCGCACATAGGAACGTCCGTCGAATGCTACAGCTCAATCTTCAGCCCATTTCGTTCGGTGTCCGATTTGCAGCTCATCCGGTATAGCACTTTTCTCCCTTCGCTTGCTCAGCTCGTAGCGACCTCTCTCCATTCGCTTCCATATCCAATTCCTCATTGTTGGAAAGCAGAAGTGTCGCCTGATATATCTCCTCGTCAACCCCGCGCCTTTTAGGACGGAATCTATGGTTGAAGAGGTAAACACTTGGCGTAGACAATGTACAGGGCTACTGGGAAGCTGGTGGTTTCTGTCTTACCTGCAGACTCACTCTGATGCTTTCGGGCAAGGACGCAGTGGGTTTGATGGTGAGGGACATATCTTACTCCAAGTTGGATTATAGATAAAGACCGTAGACTGTAGGAATCGATTACATATATTCAATGTTGGAAGTAACCAATGGTTTCCACCAATTGATTGATATCCTTTCCATCAATATTTCCTCTCATCTCTCCTGATGCCTTGCGTAGTGCCCATTAGTGTTGTACATATATTTACGCCTCGGCTGGCTGTATATCATCTAGCCCAGCAGATTCCAACAGTCGCCATCAAAATACGCTAACACTTGCAGCTTTGCTGTCTAGCCACATGTGCGCTGCAACAGGATCATAGTCCTTGCCCACCGGTAGAAATTTGTCTTACTTGGTTCATAGATGCATGTGTATCAAGGGCTGGCTGCGACATATATTCGTCGTCATTTCAGTGGAGTCAGTAGTAAATCCAACTAGACAACCCTTGAAACATTTAGTGCCTATTGAGCAAACTGTCAGGCACGTACTAAGCAACAAGATTTTCATTATTTACGCTAAAGTCTCGACAGAAGGAGACTTGGAGACATATCAAACCCAGTACCAGCTCCAAGACCAAGTCACCTCCACCACCCCGATCTTAAACGTATGCCAACTTTGATACACATGGAAACAATGAATCAAATGCTTTAATATACAACATAAGCAAGAAGGTGATCCAAAGAGTTACAACCGCGCGTACCAAACTCAGAAAGAAAAAAGTAGATAGGAAAGCAAATAACATCGTATCGTGTCTCATCGGAAAACCGGAAATCGACGCAACCTCAGGAACTGGATATTTGAGAAGAAAGATAGCACGCTCGCTGAAATGTTCGAATAGCCACGAAACTGCGCTAGTGCCCAACACACTTCCCCCATGCAGGTAGTCCACACCCCATACCAATGAACAGATATAGCAAGAAGATAACGACAACCACCACCATGATCATCAACTTGGTATTCTTCCACCACATTCGCCTCCGCAGTCCACGGCTACGAATCCGGAAATCATGCGCACTCCCGCCAAGCCGATCTGTCTTGTCAACCAATAGATCGATGCGCTCACCACGCTCCAGGACCCGCTCAATGTTCTCGGTCATTATATCGCGGACGCTGTCAATCTCACGCCGGGCTGACGCGAGAGAATCGGCTGGTGGGGCGGTGTTGTAGGCCTGTAGGAGAGAGCGCAGCTCATTGTTGAAGGCAGCGCACCCGTAGGCGGGCAGTGAGGCGAACTCGGTTGTGGATGGTTCGTAGGTGGTCAAGAACTTGCGCTTCATTTCTAACAAGTAGGCAAATGGGATGCGGCGCCCCTGCTCTGCTGAGGCAACTACCACGAAACTCAGGGGAGCGTGTGAGTTGGGCTCTGCAATGTTGCCATCGTCGGATTGGTTGCCTGTTGGCGAGTCGGCGATGTAGTGGACAAAAAGCCGTTCATGGGTGAATGTGAGTTTTTGTGGCTTGTCATGTGTGATCTTTGGGAGGATAATGGAGGCTAGTGACGAGGCGGCGGTCGATGAACTGCCTGGCGAGGAGTGTTCGGCCAGAATAGTAGTGCGATAGGCGATGCAAGAGCTGAAGTCGAGTATATTGTCAGTCTGGGAATAATTTCTTCAGTCGCTCAAATGTCAAGACTTACTAGAGCAAAGAGCTCGTCTTGGAAGATGAAGCCATAGTGTGATGTGATGTCAGTGGGCGGGACCTCAAAATGAAGAGACCGTAGCAGAAGACAGGAGAGGGTCAAAGTGATAGAAGGTCCAGTGAGTTTCAAGCACTTGTAGTACTCAGATAAAGGAACTACGTATTTTGAAAGCTCTTGAAATTTTGAGATCTGGAGCACCTTGCACTGGTGTTCGCGCAAAGCCGCTGAGTCAGCCTCAACGCCCCCCAGGCCCGGGGGACAGTTCGAGGAGATGCAGAAGTAACTTGGGATTCCATTTTAAGCGATGCTTTTGCTAGGCAAACACTCTGCTTGCCCGATTTCAAGCGAAGCAAAACAAACAAATTCAATGCGAGGTATTTCAAAATTACTTAGAATCACCAACTAATTCGAACTCAGTATCATTACCTTCTTCCTCCACCTTGTCCATGTCGATATCCTCGGAGCTACTAGCAAAATAAGGCTCCATTGATTCCATTTCCATGGTAACGGTGCCGTTGCTATGTGTTTCGTATTCCTCGTCGGAAGTCAGGCCAAAATCCAGGGATGATGTCTCATCGTCATACTCGGTTACCTCCATGTAAGCATCCCGCTGCGCTTCATCGTGGCTCTTGGTATTCTCATGCTTGATTTCAAACTGGGAATAGTCGGTAGAGTCCACGGAAATGATATCCGAAGCGTGACTGTAAGTCGCATTGTGAGATGCGCCGTAAACTGTGCTCTGGGTGTCACCAGGCTCGATCACACTGAGAGAATCATGGCTTGAGGCGATACTGCCAGTGTGCACGGCGGGCCCAGGACCTGAGAACCCACCGAGGTCTGTGGCAGGAATGATCAAGTCGGTGAAAACACCGCCAGTTTCATCGTCATTGCCACCCGCCCACAGAGGTAGGTATTGGAATTCATTGTATTTGAGGCAGGTTAGGGTATCTATGATTTCGTGCCGCATTGTGGTTGGGCCAGGCTCCCGTAACATCTCTAGTGCGTACTTCTTCAGGAAAGCTTGAACCTCATTTTTGAATGTCTTTTCTTGGAAGATGTCTGCTGAAATGTCCGTCGTTGATGGCGGTGGAGACACAGGCGGAAGACATGGGTTAGGGGTGGGAGCAGGAATGGGATCGAAGAAAGGGCCGTTTTCGGAGGCGCTCTCAACCTCATTGCCCGATTGTGACTGCCGGGCGTTAAAGGTCATCTCCATCACAACGCGACCCCCCGCATGTCCCGCAGCTAGAGCCTCTTCCTCCTGGTGTGCCTGATACCTGGTTCTAACCGCTTGGTTAAACGCATGGGTCAACTGGCGGACTTCCCTAAGCGAAACATGGCGAATCCTTGCTGCGGTTTCACCACTAAAGGCCAGCGAGCCATCGCCGATCTCTGCTATCGAAGAATGAGACTGCTTACGAAGCACCTCACCTGGACTGAGGTCCAACCACACCAGCGCACTCCAGAATGTTTTCCCAATTAATCGCTGAAGGATAAATTCTTTGTCTTTGCGCGATCGGTGGTATGGGTTTTCGGATCTTGCCAAGTTTGGAGCCACATGGAATGATCGATTTGTGTCTCTTGTCTTGACCAAAACGTCGTAAACACGGTCACGGACGAGTTCCTTTAGCGTCATGACTAGTTGATGTACGATTTCCTGATCTGCGGGATAAAGTTGAATATGGCGGGTAAGCTTCTGGAACTCAACAATGTGTGCCAACCAGGGCATTTCACTCCCGGTCAAGTGTAAGAAACACCGAACAACGTAGTCACCAAAACTCTTGCTAGCGTATTCAATACGCTGCACCTCCGCGTCGTCTAGAGCATCGGAAATTTGGCTCCGCACCAAGCTTTCCATGAATCCGATTGGTTTGAAACGTGTGGCTCGGATCAGGTACAGCAGGGCTTCGTCTCCAACCATTCCAGCAAAAGCATCTCGATAGAGGCAGGCAGATCTGATACCACACGCCACTCGATATGTTATCTCGGGATGAAGTTCAATGAACCGAGTGTTGTTGAGCTGATAGAACCACGAGATGATGGGGTCGCAAATGGCTGGCACCGTAGCCACGTCAAATATTTTGGCGAGGGCAAAAAAAGTCCACAACTTGCAAGGGGTGTCTATTCTGGGATTTAGTCCTTCCAGAGCGTGGAGAATGTGCTCAATGCCTTCACGATGGCGTGAGGGGGAGTATTCCACCGGCAGGCCCTTCTTTTCCACTATCTCAGGTTGGTATGCTAAAGATCTGCCCTGTAATTCCGGGGATAGTTTCATCTGCTCGTTTTTCAGATGTTCAAGATGGCCGACATCGATATCGGCTGGGGGCTCGGGGGATGTATGGGATTGCGCAAGTTGCTCGAAGGGTTCCAATTCATCTTGTCCCCCAACGCACTGCCATGGCAGGCTCCATATTTCCTGTTTCGAGGCCCACGTTCTGATACTCATCGGGCATGACAACTCGGTCAAGAAGATAATTGCATCTTCGTCCGTTGTTGGAGGTGTAAGATCCAGGACGTATTGAATTCCCTCTGGCAGCTTGCCAGTCAAGCCGCGTCGCTTTCGGACGCGGATCTGGGTTTGTGGATTGAAAAGACGTTTGAAGTAGGCCGAGCCTGTAGCCAATAGCTTCTCACTGTGGATGCGATGGGGAACTGTCTGTGCGGAAATAGACACCTTTGATCGGATTGTCTCCGGAGAAGGGTCAATGAACACTAGGGTATCTGCGCCGTGGAGAAGAAGCAGAAGTGGCAATGGTGTAAGGTTGGAACGTGATTGAGAATTCGGAGGGCTTGCCAGAAGCACTGCGGGAGTATTTGGGGCGTGTGTAGAGTTTGTAGTGTCAGTTTCGCTCGCAGTGTCAATATGCGGTTCCTGTTGCTTATTTTGCTGGAAGGACGGAAGGGTTTCGATTGCTCGTGTGCAACCTGAAGGAGACACCTCCATTTTGGGTAGAGCTTTAAGATGTCACCAAGAAAAGGTGAGATGAGAATGTAGATGTATAGTAAGATTCAAGTCAAAAAGAGTATAAGAGGTTGAGAGAAAGATAATGCAGACAACCCGAGTAATATAAGTCGAGAAGGAAGCGTACTGGTCTAGAGTGGGGCAAGTGAATGAGGCTCTGCTGCCTAAGTACACATGTAGGAGGTCCGTACGGGTACGGAGTATTCCGTACATATCTGTCCACACTCTGATAACAAACCGGTTGTTTCCAAGTCTTCTCTTGAGATAGCAATGTATTATTTCAATCATGTCAAATTCTCTCTAATCATATTATCTCTACCAGCTTGATCATTGAGGCCGGGGTTCATAGATATAATCAACACTTGGAAATTGGCCATGCTTGATGAAAAAGGGCTTGAGGCAGTGATTGGTCATCTCTTCCAAGGTCCACGGGTGCCTTAATCTTTGTCATCGGGTTCATCTACTTTAGAATGCAAATTGGCTTAATTTCGACCTGGACATGTGCCTATTTTCTATGCAAGGAGTGCAATTCCCATCGTGATCGTAATCAACCCTCCAACTAAAGACAATATCATTGTGACCTCGTTGAATGGGTGTTTAGTGGCATAAAACCCCCAAGAAGCAGCAAACGAGAACCACCAGACTGGGGATGCAGCCCACATGATCCGATCTGTTATAGAGAGAAATTAGTCATTTTCCGAACCACCTAGGTGTCTAGTTATCTAGTTATCCCGGGAGCAATGGAGGAAGATAATATTACCATGCATAGCCTGCAATCCTAACTCCGGTAAGAAAAACAGCAATAAAACGGAGGCTAGAGCCAAAGAAGAGGCAGCGGCGGCATCTGCGAGTAGATATGGTCAGCTCAAACCTTGAAACAGAATAAGAGGATTGTCATCTACACCCGCTGAGAATTGCCGATGGTTTTTTATTGATGAGCTCGATTCGATCCTCCCGGATCGCACTAAAAATACACCACCCGACATTGTCCCCGAAGATACGCTGTAACGTCTCTTGAGAGGCTGGCATGAGCTGAGAGAACCGGCCAATCTCCCATTTACTGGCATGTTTCTCGGCGACATCGATGGGCACGTCATGTTTGTTGACAAGGAGTTGGGTGATGTAGGTGCGGACTTGCTCGGCGGGTGCATTGGCCGAGGGGAAAGTTGTGAGACCTATGGGTAGAGATATCTTCATTTCCATTGGAGCATTTGAGCGGAGTAGACCAAGAGGGGCAGAGTATATGAAGTATTCTGTGAAACGGTAGAGATGTTTCCGGGCACTGGACTATTTTGGCCCCGGGGGCCAAGCGTGCTGACGAATCACCATGGCTATATACCTATGGTTTCAGGTGCGCTGCGTCGTTTGATCTTAGCCGGAAGTACCTAGATACGATACCAGAGTAGATTCCTCTTGTGTTGTATCAAGGATCACATTGTCCAGGCTTTAGGTCACTTCCCGTCCAATGAGGAATCTCATCTTCAGCCGCACTTGATAATGTATCATCTATCAAAATATGCAACCAGCATAGATTAAGAGCCTCAAAGAATTCGTAGATAGTAGAGTCATAAATGTAAACCTCCGTTTTGGCAATTCATCTTGCTTCTAGGACAGGACTTAGTAACTATCCAAAGCATAACTGACGGGAGAGAGCTAAGTGGCGGGATACCTCACCATGTGCTCATATCCATGTCATTCTTTTTTTTTCTCTAAAGATATCCAGTATGCAAGTTTATTTCACTGCCGAACAACTGAAATCACGAAAGTCGTGCTATCACAAAAAGTCTCTCCTATAAACCAATCCATAAACCCATCATGGCTAGCATGGCAGAAGCCGTTCACCAAAGTCGGAAACCGATGAAGTCAGTATTTGCCCCCTGGGTAGAGGTCCGTCTATACTGACAAGTGAAAATTAGATCTCGCTACATCGCCCTACTAAGCGTCTTTGGGGTCATCGGTGGTACATTACTGATGTTTCGCTTCCTAGCTCCCCAGCGAGGCAAAATCATCACCAAGGAGGAGGTAGCAGCGTACCGGGGTGGCGACACAGATCAAACAGACCAAGGTGAGGCATATGGACACACTGCCCGGCCTCCACGAAAGGGATATCAAGTTCCCAGAGGAAGCGTGTGAGAGGGATGACTGCCCGAGAGCATGAAGCATACCAAGAAACATAGCAGTGAAATGATACTGGACAAGGGTAACTCGTTTGGTATCATCAATGGGCGGTCCTCCACGTTGCTCTTGTCATGTTCACTTTTTCATCGTTTATCATTCAATAAAATGACAGATGGACGCCGAAGGTCATTCATTAAAACCATGGATCTCTCTGGGATGGCGAAGACCACAACAGATAGTCGACAGTATATAGCATAGCGTATCTAAATTAGACAGCTATTTTACGATCCCACTCGTCTGAGCTGGATTTCGGCAATGAATTGAATAGGAAGCTCGGATATGAAAATGTCAATCATGTGTGGACTGATGAACATTGAACCTCGAAGCCGTTATGTACCCCAAACGAGATGGTATCTGATATCCGCAAAACAAAAGGCTAACGCACCAGATCAAAAATAGATATCCGCAAAGCAAAAGAACCACCCAATCAATTTACAGGGATTTTTTACATGGTACTACCACTAAACTGCAGATGCAATGAACAGTTAGGTAGATGGCAGGGTATCTCCACCGGGCCCATCTCCTTTGCTAGGGTTTCCACCACTGCCAGCCCGGCTTCCGGGCGAATTGGTACTTTTCTTCTTCGAGTCTTTCTTTTCACGCTTCTTCTTCTCACGTGTAGCCCCCCGGGACTCATCGGGTCGGCTTGGACTGCGACTAGACTCGCTGCGGCGGAGATCTTTGACTTCCTTTATCACCTCACGGAATCCTTCTTCGATGTTATTCATGCGAGCTAGAACCAATTTGCTGAGCATGTCTTGGGTTTGAGCTGGGACTGCACGATGAAGGACAGGTGCGGCAAACCCTAGTTGGGTCTGGAAACTGGATGGAATGGCACCGGCGAAGCCACCCGCCACGGCCCTGTTATCGCCTAGATCAGATCCCAGGTCGAAAAGATGCGATGATCTAGGCCGTGTCCCTGTGGGCCGATCAGATAGGTAGATACTGTTCACCTCTGGAACAGACATATGATTCAGTCCTATCGGAGGATTCCGAGGACGAGATATGTCTAGAATGTGACGCTTTATGGTACCCTGGTCTATTGAGGTAGATATGCCAGGGCGTGATTCTCCATCCGACGAGTCGGCATCTGGCCGTGGAGGTGTGGTCCGGCCTTCCGTCTCTTCATTCGGAGATCCAACGGGATTGTACAACATGGTGACCCCAGAAGCATTCCGCGTATGCCTGACACGACGTGTAGGGCTGTTGCGACGTGAGATCATTCTTGCCGTAGATGGGCGAGAGCTATAGAACTTGGGTGAGGGCTTCTCTGCGCCTCCAACCGAGTTAGATGATGTTTTGCCCGTGGACCCCTGGGCCAAGTATTTGTCATCATTTGAGTCACCATCGTTGCTGGTAAGTTCATCGTCGCCCTCCATGTCTGTATGATGGGAAAGTTGACGTTTCTGGGTCGGCGAGAAGGAGGGTCGTGTGCGCCGAGGCCGAATGACTGGGCTTGCAGCGCAGCTTGTTCGGTCCTCGGGATTTGAAGCAACTGATCGAGTCGTTTCCGTGAAATCTCGAGTTTGGTTGGCCAACCTAGCCCGGAATGGAAACTTCGGTCTTTTCGGATGCATCCCATGTTGGACCACATCTAGAGAATCCCCATCATCGGGTCCATTGGCTGGTCCAGAGCCAATATCCTGCATCCAGTTTTTGATGACGTTATTGGTCTGGCGTTCATGCACAGTGCTCGGTGGCCCTCGGTTTCGATCGTCACTGTATGGGCGTCGAAACACTTCCTCTAATGCTCGATCCTTCTGGTATGTTGCCACAGAGGGCTCTCGCCTAAAAACCGATGCCCTAGTGCTGAAGCCACGGAATCGACTGGGCTGAGCTGGACTTTCATTCGGCGAGGTATGTTCAATTAGATCCATCGGTTGGACGACTCGAGAACTGAGGATCGTCTTCTCATAAAGGCAAATTGTGAACAGTATGGGTAAGTGAGTTATCTTTATAATGGTCCGGTTGAGCCGAATGAATTCACGGAACGGCATCAGGTATCGGAATGGGGTGACTAGCCAGGCAATGACGTTTGTAGGTGCCACATAGGAGAATAGGGCATCAGACTTGACCATTGAGATGGTATTGACAGCGAACAAGAACTGATGTTCTTGGTTTGCGTTCTGGACAATCCTCATAAACGAATTAGTCAAAACCGTGATCAAAATAGTGACGACGACAAAATGACAGATGAACAGGAAGACAGTCAAAATCGTCTTCCCTAAAAAGTTGTATTCATCCCACATTGCCCATGCTGTTGGCGTGAATCCCATCAGCATCTGGAACAAACCATAAGCCACCACTTTGGGGGATTTGTTGTCTCCAAAGTTCAAGAAAGCGACGAAAAATCCAGAGCAAGAAATTACAATGAGGACGAAGACGGCAATTAGATCCGATGCCATGATCCGAAAAGCAATGAGGAGTTGGGAGAAGTAGCGATAGTGATCCAATATGGAAAACAACCTCGGAAATAGCAAAGGAGCTGTGGCGGCGAGAACGTCGAACTGAATTGCATTAGCATATAGTGCACTTAAGTTACCTTCGTAAAGATAGCAAGACTCACTGCTTGGTCGGTGATGAATTGACTTCTCGGGTAGGTCAGAAATGTGCCGTATATCCTCAAGCAATAGTAGGCGAAAAGCAATAGCAGAATCCCAACGTCGAAGAGATTCCAAAAGCTCATCAGATAAAGACTAAAGCCTTGTTCATTGAACCCTACAACTTCATCAAGCATGAATCCGGCACTCCAAAACCAGAACACTATTTCAAGGGATGTGATCCTGCGGCTACGTTGTTCTAGTACAGCCAGGAACAGTCCCAAGAGTACCGCAAATGATAAAGTGGAAAGAAATTGTCGATAGCGCGGCACCCTCAGCCGGGATAATTTGAATAGAGATGCGTCCCGGGGGTTGTAGATTGTCACTGAGCGCCGAAGAGTCTTGTTATGCGACTCGGTCGCAATGTCCCCATTGGAATCCACTGCCGCTCCGTAATCCATATTGCTACGTTGACTCATATTCACAGGACGATGGAGACTGTCGGCGGCAGAGTGGAAGACAACCGTCCCCGCCCAGATGGCCTCCAATTGTTGCACCACGACCGGATGAGCCAAGAATCGCTTGGCCTGTGAGCGAATAGCGACCTCCAAGCATGAAACACGGGCAGCAACCACCCGTTTTCGCTGAGGGGTCGTGACTAGTATTGTAGATTGATCCTGGCCCTGGAGTGGATAGAACTCGTAGGACAGCGCGTCGATCAATTCTCGGGTCGAGTATTCCCGCAATAATTTTATTGCTAACAATTCACTGACCATCGCGCGCGTTTGATTTGCCCCGCTGTTCCCGGGACTTAGATGTATTTCTCTCTCAAATTGCAGACAATTGGCCATCAATGCATAGAGGGTCGCGCGCGAAAAGTGGGCCGACATGATCTTCTGCAGGATCGGCTTGATCAGGAATTGGGAGACTTGCGGTGAGCGTAATTGGTCCCATGTTAGGGTGGTTTCGCAGCGGGAGGCAATCAAGGGACGAATGGCGTGAGTTATGTTGTAGACAGGCAGCGCATCTAATCACCGTTGGTCAATTGTCCGTATACATCGTACCCTAGAGATCTCTTCGTACCCAAATGCGTAGCAGAGAACATAGGTAGTAGAGGTGTGGATTCAAGCGGTCCATCCTCTTCCTCTTCCTCCCAGACCTGGTCCAGATTCTCATCGTCGATTTCTCGAAGCTCTGGGTCGTTATCACTGCTTTCATTGGCTCGGAGGACGCGTCGCGGGTTATGTGGGCGAAACCTCGGGGAGGAAGTTGAGAACGGGGACTGTTCGGTCTGCCCACGTTGAAGTTTTGGACGAAGCAACGAGGGGAACATGGTGAGGAAAGTTCAGTATCTAATTCGGCATAATTGAGGTTGGGAGGTTGGATGTTGGAGCATTGCGTCCGCAAAGGCGAGAAAATGAAGGGACGAAAGCGCAAGAGCAGAACAGAAAATCGAAGATCGAAAATAGCAAATGGCAAATGGCAGAAAATAGCAGACAATAGCAGAAAATCACAGGAACAAAAAGCAAGCAAAAATGTCCAAGCGCGATTAATTTAGTCCAAAGATCTCGGAAAATCTAAGCTCCCACAACCACGTCATTGTACTTTTCACCCCTGGAGGTTGGTTATATAAGGTTATTTATTTACCCCCGTATCTTCTCTTGCTTTAAAGCCGGGAAAGTTCTAATCATGCTATTAAATATCTTAGAAATGCTCTTATATTCATCCAACTTCAACGGGATGTTATTCTCGAATCCTCAACAATATGCAGCGAAACGGAGTGCATACTCCGTACATTTAACACTCAACAGGTCAGAAATATTTGCCACATGTGTGACATGAACCCTTGTATCGATACAGTACACCTTTTTTGGTATAGAAATCTGATATAGATACAATTTGAGATGTCTGAGTTGGTATGTATGAAGGAGTATAGAAACTGCCTTGATCTTTCAGCGAGCTATATCTGCTCGCCTCCCATCTAATATATATTATTTCGATTGTTGTCTGGGTATGGTGATGGTTTATGTAGTTATAGACACGTTTAAACCACTGTAGAGGCAATTGTACTGAGAGGGAATCTGTATTAATAACTAGAGAGGTATGTATATATATCCAACTATATATACTCCGTATAGCTCTCTCTTTCTCTCTCTGGATACATCTACATCCCCGGGGACCACAGCAATATATCAGATACCGTTATCGGCCCACTGCCCGTGCGTTGCGTCATATGCAGTAAGACCTGCATGGTCGATAGAGCATGGGAGTGTTTTCTTATAGCGAATATTTGAACAATCGAGAATCCAATCAATTGACCTTTCGATCTTCATGATCTATTCGACATATCAAAAAAAATTGAATAATACAATAGCATAATAATCTGATATAGTGGGGGATCGGAAAAATCTCTGCGGTGAAACCGATTGACCGAAAACAGAAGAAAAGTGGGGACCCCGAAAAAGCTTTTTGGCATGAAAATATTTTCTGCCGAACTTCTCTTTCCTCTCTTCCTCCTCCACAGCTGGTTGCAGCAACACTTTACTTTTCCTGTCTGTTTTATTATATACTCCCCTGTCTTTCTTTTCTCTCTCTCTTTGACCCCCCAAAAATCCATTTCGCAGATGAACTAGAGTTATCTGCTCGCATTAGATCGTCCCTCGAGAGGACTTGTTCCCTCACATCTCCAATTCCCGATGTCTCAGCGTGCCAATCTCCTTGAGGAGCCAGTCCTGCCCACCAGTCCACACCTAGGTGGTGCAGTTGGTTACCCAGAGACTCTGCCCAACATGGCTTCTGCCAATGGAGTGATTAAGCCAGCCTGCATCCCAGTTCGGGGTGGCTCAGACCGGTTGGCTACTCTCGAACTTGCAGATGGCACTGTCTACCAGGGTTACAACTTTGGTGCGGAGAAGAGTGTTTCGGGTGAATTGGTCTTCCAGACTGGTATGGTCGGTTACCCCGAGTCCATCACCGATCCCTCATACCGCGGCCAGATTCTGGTCGTCACTTTCCCACTCGTGGGCAACTACGGTGTCCCTTCACACGATGAGATGTGTGAGCTCCTGAAGGACTTGCCTAAGCACTTCGAGTCCAGTCAAATTCACATTTCGGCCCTGGTGGTGGCATCCTACGCCGGTGAGGACTTCTCGCACTTCTTGGCCAAGTCCTCCTTGGGAGATTGGCTCAAGTCCGAGGGCATTCCAGCGATGCACGGTGTCGACACTCGTGCTTTGACCAAGCACCTTCGTCAGACCGGTAGTATGCTGGGTCGTATGCTGCTGCTGCAAAAGGCTGGTGCCAACCCCGAGGTCGCCGGTGCTGCCGGTGCCGACTGGAAGTCATATTTTGAGGAGACCGAATGGGTAGACCCAAACAAAAAGAACCTTGTCGCTGAGGGTGAGTGATCTACCAAGCTGATGCAATGGAAAAACAAACGGATTTGATTTGCTAACATTGATTTTTTTTTCTCCTTACAGTCTCAATTCGCGAACCTCGCCTCTTTACACCCCCCGCCGATGTCGCCCTGAAACACCCATCGGGGCGTGGAGTCCGTGTCCTCTGTCTTGATGTTGGTATGAAGTACAACCAGCTGCGTTGCCTGCTTGCCCGCGGTGTGGAGGTTCTGGTTGTGCCATGGGACTATGATTTCCCTACCCTTGCCGGAAAGGATTTCGACGGTCTGTTCGTGTCGAACGGTCCTGGTGATCCCGCGACCCTGACCGTTACCACCAAGAACCTGGCCAAGATGTTCGAAGATGCCTGTACTCCCGTCTTTGGTATCTGTCTGGGTCATCAGTTGATTGCTCGCGCTGTCGGTGCTCAGACCACCAAGATGAAGTTCGGTAATCGCGGTCACAACATCCCCTGCACAAGTATGCTTTCTGGCAAGTGCCACATCACTTCTCAGAACCATGGTTATGCCGTGGATTCCTCCAGCCTCCAGAACGGATGGGAGGAGCTGTTTGTCAACGCCAATGACGGCAGTAACGAAGGTATTCGTCACACCAGCCGCCCCTTCTTCAGTGTTCAATTCCACCCCGAGAGCACACCCGGCCCACGGGATACCGAGTACCTGTTCGATGTGTTCATCAACACCATCCAGTCTACCATTGCCTCCCCCGAGGCTCTTAAACTGCCCGTCTCTTTCCCCGGTGGCACCAAGGCCGAAAACATCCAGGCTGCCCCCAGAGTCTCGGTCAAGAAGGTGTTGGTTCTTGGTTCCGGTGGTCTCAGCATTGGTCAGGCTGGAGAGTTCGACTACTCTGGCAGTCAAGCTATCAAGGCTTTGAAGCAAGAGGGTATCTACACCATTTTGATCAACCCTAATATTGCTACTATTCAGACCTCCAAGGGTCTGGCTGACAAGGTTTACTTCCTGCCTGTCAACGCCGACTTTGTCCGCAAGGTCATCAAGCATGAGCGCCCCGATGCCATCTACGTCACTTTCGGTGGCCAAACTGCCCTTTCGGTGGGCATCCAGCTCAAGGATGAGTTCGAAGCGCTTGGCGTCAAGGTCCTCGGTACCCCTATTGATACCATCATTACTACCGAGGATCGTGAGCTGTTCGCTCGCAGCATGGATTCCATCAACGAGAAGTGCGCCAAGTCTGCTTCTGCATCCACCATCGAGGAGTCTCTGCGTGTCGTTGAGGACATCGGTTTCCCTGTCATTGTTCGTGCCGCGTACGCTCTTGGTGGTCTAGGCAGTGGCTTCGCAGAGAACATGGATCAGCTGAAGGAGCTGTGCACCAAGGCTTTGGCTGTCAGCCCCCAGGTTCTGATTGAGCGCAGTATGAAGGGCTGGAAGGAGATTGAGTACGAAGTTGTTCGTGATGCCCAGGACAACTGCATCACTGTTTGCAACATGGAGAATTTCGATCCCCTCGGTATTCACACTGGTGACTCCATTGTCGTGGCTCCTTCCCAGACCCTCTCCGATGAGGACTACAACATGCTACGAACCACCGCAGTCAACGTCATTCGTCACCTCGGCGTTGTCGGTGAATGTAACATCCAGTATGCCCTCAACCCCTTCTCCAAGGAGTACTGTATCATTGAGGTCAACGCTCGTCTGTCTCGATCCTCTGCTCTAGCCTCCAAGGCCACCGGATACCCTCTTGCCTTCATTGCTGCGAAGTTGGGTCTTGGTATCCCCCTGAATGAGATTAAGAACTCGGTCACCCAGTCCACTTGCGCCTGCTTCGAACCCTCGCTTGATTACTGCGTGGTCAAGATCCCTCGTTGGGATCTGAAGAAATTCACTCGCGTGTCTACTCAGCTTGGTTCTTCCATGAAGAGTGTTGGTGAAGTCATGAGCATTGGCCGGACCTTCGAGGAAGCTATCCAGAAGGCTATTCGCATGGTTGATTTCCACAATCTTGGATTCAACGAGTCCGATGCCCTGATGTCTATCAAGGGCGAGCTCCAGACCCCCTCTGACCAGCGTCTGTTTGCCATTGCCAATGCCATGGCCGCCGGTTACACGGTTGATGACATCTGGAAGCTCACCAACATTGACAAGTGGTTCCTCACCCGTCTCAAGGGCCTCAGCGACTTCGGCAAGTCTATCTCCACCTTCAATGCTACCTCCGTCCCCATGTCCATGATTCGCCAAGCCAAACAGCTCGGTTTCTGCGATCGTCAGCTCGCCAACTTCTTGGACTCCAACGAGCTTGCCGTGCGCCGCATGCGTGTTGAAGCTGGCATCACTCCTATTGTCAAGCAGATCGATACCGTCGCCGCCGAGTTCCCAGCATTCACCAACTACCTTTACCTTACCTACAATGCTTCCCAGCACGATCTGTCTTTCGACGATCATGGTATCATGGTTCTAGGCTCTGGTGTCTACCGTATCGGTTCCTCGGTCGAGTTCGATTGGTGCTCCGTGCGTACTATCCGTACGCTCCGCGAGCAGGGCCACAAGACTATCATGGTCAACTACAACCCGGAGACTGTCAGTACCGATTACGATGAGGCTGACCGCCTTTATTTCGAGAACATCAACCTAGAGACTGTTCTGGATATCTATCAGCTGGAGACTTCCAGCGGTGTGATCATGTCTATGGGTGGTCAGACCCCAAACAATATCGCTCTGCCTCTTCACCGCCTCAATGTCAACATCCTTGGTACCTCTCCCGAGATGATCGATGGTGCCGAGAACCGTTACAAGTTCTCTCGCATGTTGGATCGTATCGATGTTGATCAGCCCGCCTGGAAGGAGCTGACTAGCATTGACGAAGCCCGCGGTTTCTGTGAGAAGGTCGGCTACCCTGTGCTGGTCCGCCCCTCATACGTGCTCTCTGGTGCTGCTATGAATACAGTCTATTCCGA